TGGATGACCATTGCAAACTGTGAATGCAGGGAAAGAATAGTAATTAGAAATTGCAATGGTCCATTAGAGTCTTGACTTAAAAAATAACCAGTTTGCCCACATGCTGCTCCCTAATAACCCTCATTGAGAGTTCCAGCGAATGGAGGAGGACAGGCTTTAGATTGTATGATCATAATTATCCACGTCTGTGCGTGCTAAGAGGAGGTATTCATATCACCATAAGGGGAGCAAACCTTGTAGATGTGCTAGATAGCAGATGTTTCTAGTATCCACCTCACAATTACAGTAATGTGCCAGTGAACTGTGCAATGTGTTCTGGAGTGCCAGTAAATCATTTGTTAAAACAAGGCAACTCTGTTAGTGGAAATGAACAGTTTGCTGACAATTTAAGTGAGGTACCCAGGCATTACCAAACCAAACATATTGGATTTACAGAGGGTGAATGGAATAACAGAAACACTTAAAACAGAAAACACCATAAACAGAAAAAACATATTGTAAATCTAAAGCCAAAACCATGCTTATGGAAGCATCATGGGAACATTGTGCCACATAGGGTACACCTGATACCTTGAATGTTATAACACCATGCAAAGCAATCATTGCAAGATGGCTTCAACTACCATTATGGATCCCCCATCGTGTTCAACAGTTGGCAGCAGATATTGTCAGTTGAAGGCATTCATTGGCTTTTTCCAAAGAAAATCCATTCAAATATAGATAATAGGTTTATAAATTACTTATTGAATCATGTTTCCATTCCAGTTTTTTCCCCCTTACACCAGACTGGGTTTCCATGCATTGAGCTTGGAAGGGGATACTTTCTGAACAGCAGCCTCACTATGATGTCCAGCTTTGTGAAAATCTGTGGTACTGTGCATCACACCGCAGGTCTCTGTAATGTGCATCACACCGCAGTTCTCTGTACTGTGCATCACACCGCAGGTCTCTGTACTGTGCATCACACCGCAGGTCTCTGTACTGTGCATCACACCGCAGGTCTCTGTACTGTTAAGGCCTGGCTAGTAACTTAGGACTTGAAATTTTGAGCCCATAGGGGATCATGTGATAGTGGATTCAGGTGAGTTTTTCTGTTTTTTTTCTTCAAATAAACACTCCACACTCCTCCCAGGCCCGGCCTGCCCCCCTATTCTCTTCCTTTATTTTTTCCTCTTCACTCCCAAAAAAAATATCAAGGGTAGTTACCCACAGATATATATACACCAATTGATATTAAAACCCGTAAAAGAGCCAAACTGTTACACTAATTACATAAAAGACTTAAAGGAGAACTATGGGGTCAGGGCTTTTCCCCATAGTTCTCCTTAGGGTAACGGGAGGACACAAACTAGCGTCACCCTAAGCTCAGTATACCGCGAGCTACAGCTCGCGGTATACTGAGACGCCGCAGCTGAAGCGGATCCCGACAATTATGTCTGCATCCGCCCAGCTGCGTGAGTGACAGCTGGCTCTGCCTATCTAGTGGCAGAGCCAGCTGTACCCGCCCCTCCCCCGTCCATTCCGCCAGTCAGCGATGGAGAATCGGAGCGGGGAGGGGGGAATACAGCCCCTTCCTTGTCACGGCAGAGAACCGTGACAGCGTCGAGAAGTGAGCGAACGCCAGTATGTGTTCGCTCACTTCCCGATCTACTGAGCCGACCTGTGACATTCTCATTGTCACAGGTTGGCTAGAACTATGAGGTGAGTGAAAAGCAATCACCTCATAGTTCTCCAGACATCCCAACTCTCCCGGCCGCCCGGGAGAGAAACACTTCTTCCCGGAAAGGTTTAATCTGCTCGATCGAGCAGATTTAACCTTTCCCTGCAATCGTTTTTTTTTTCTTTTCTGACAGTTAAAAAAAAAGCCTGCAGATAGCAAAGAAGCTATTGCTTCCTGTGCTATCTGCCATCATTTCAGGGGGGTGCTCTCTCTCTCCCTGAAATGAGAGGTACACCTCCCTGAAAGTCCTTCTTTCAGGTTGGGATCCCTGGTTCTCCTTCAAAGGAGAACTGTGAGGTGAGTAAAAAGCACTCAGCCTTGTAGTTCGAGTCGACGTGTGACAATGAAACTGTCACACGTCGGCTCAATAGATCAGGAAGTGAGCGAACACATACCGTCGCTCGCTCACTTCTCGATCATCTCCACGCAGAGAGCTGTGACTGTTAGTCACGGCTTCCTGCAGGGATTCCCCACTTCCCCCCTCCGATCCTCCAGCGCTGACTGAAGGAATGGACGGGGGAGGGGGCGGGTACAGCTGGCTCTGCCTCTAGATAGGCAGAGCCAGCTTGTCACTCACGCAGCTGGGTGGATCTCGACAGTAATGTCGGATTCCGTCCCGGCCGCGGCAGTCTCAGTATACCGCAAACTGTAGCTTGCAATATACTGAGCTTTGGGTCACGGGAGGACACTAGTATATGTCTTAGTGACCGTTATCGCTGAAAGTGAAAGAAAATCCAATGTTTTGAGTTGTCACCAGAACAGGAATAGATGGAAAATATTCCAATGTGAGCACTAGTTCTAGTGACCCTACTGACCACAGATTTTCTCTCTGCTCCATCCTGAGCATCTCCATCCATCTGAAGTTTATGTAAGAGACAGTGTACAGATCTGTGATGTGTATAGTTTTTTTAATGAATCTGAATGCAGCAGTATTGAATAATGTGGGCCCATGCACACAGCTTCATTGTACTCAGTAATCTTGTGCTGCGTTTAGCTGTGTAAAATTAAAGTTGGAAATTCTTAATCCATGGTCAGTACTTATGTGTAATTTACACATGGATGCATGTAAACACATGTGCACATGCTGTGATTGAAAACTGAGCTAGAGCAATGGAAGAAGACTTTTACAGATATGAACATTTTAAGGATATTTACATGTGTAACCAAAACACAATACAAACAATTACATGCAATTTTTTTTCATGCAAGATCTTTGTGAAAGCAAAATTCTGCATGGATATTAGTATTTTGTTATGCCCTTGTGCATAAACCCTAAAAAAGTGCCATGGCTATTTTTTGATAAATTATTTTTGAGTGTTTTATTATTTAATGTGCTATATTATTTCATATTACTGTTTTCAGTGATATTAAAAAGTGTCCGCAAGGTGGCGCTATGAAACCAGTCTTTACGCTCCCCTGCTCCGTTCACCTGCTCTTCTAGCCAGTCGATATATTTTCATTGGATTTTTGTATCATATTTTCCTAAAGTTGATTTCAGTGTCTTTTTTCAATCTGGGAAGTAACCACCACTCATGCATCCGGTAACTAAAGCCACAAATGCTCAAGGATACATTTAAAATATGATTGTTAAAGCCTGTAGATAGGTGACTGTAACTTTCATATTATATGTTTCTGTAAGATTATGGGGGAGTTAACGTAAGAAACACATCAGTTGTGTGCCAAATTCACAATTTTATTAGACAAGTTCTTTGAGGTGTTGCACCAGCCATGCCAAATAATGTAAAAGTGCTATGCAACAGTGTCTACAAATGTCTGATTACTTGTACCAAGGTATTGAAGAACCTGTGCTAACTACAGAAATGGGTGATGTGAATGGACCACCAATGAGGTGCAGCAATGCAAGAACTAGAGGAGAGGGGGATATTTATAGATGGACAGTGAGGTGCTACAATGCAGGAAGGAGAGGAGAGTGAAATGTGCATGGATCACCAGTGAGGTGCAGCAATGCAAGAATGGAGGATGTGCATAGACTGCCAGAGAGAAGCAACAGCACAGGAACGAGAGAACAGGGGCATGTGCATGGACAGTCAGCGTGGTGCAGCAACGCAGGAATTATAAGAGGACAAATGGACAAACAGGTGCAGCAACGCAGGAAGGAGTGGAAAGGAAAGGATGATGTGTATGGACGGCCAGCAAAGTGCAGCAATGCAGGAAGGAGTAGAGAGGGGAATGTTTATGGACGGCCAGCAAGGTGCCACAATACAGGAAGGAGTGGAGAGGGAAATGTGTATGGAAGGCCAGTGAGGTGCAGCAATACAGGAAGGAGTGGAAAGGATGATGTGTATGGATGGCCAGCAAGGTGCTGCAATGCAGGAAGGAGTGGAGAGGGGGATGTGTATGGAAGGCCAGCAAGGAGCAGCAATGCTGGAAGTAGTAGAGAGGGGGATGTGTATGGACGGCCAGGGAAGTGCAGCAATGCAGGAAGTAGAGGAGAGTGGGACGTGCATGGATCACCAGCGAGGTGCAGTAATGAAGAAAGGAGTGGAGAGTGGGATGTGCATGGATTACCAGTGACGTGCAGCAATGCAGGAAAGAGTGGAGAGCGGGATGTGTATTGATTACCAGTGATGTGCAGCAATGCAGAAAGGAGTGGAGAGTGGGATGTGCATGGATGGCCAGCGAGGTGCAGCAATGCAGAAAGGAGTGGAGAGTGGGATGTGCATGGATGGCCAGCGAGGTGCAGCAATGCAGAAAGGAGTGGAGAGTGGGATGTGCATGGATGGCCAGCGAGGTGCAGCAATGCAGAAAGGAGTGGAGAGTGGGATGTGTATTGATCACCAGTGACGTGCAGCATTGCAGGAAGGAGTGGGATGTGCATGGATTACCAGTCAGGTGCAGCACTGCAGGAACTAGAGGAAAATAAGAACATTTAGGTTGATTTTAGCAGATTACCTCATATTTGTGCCCAAATTTTAATGCAAACCAGAAAAAGCGTTCCTGCATCTGGTGCACCACCATGTAACAAATTAATGAATTGGCAAGTACCGCTTTTTCCTAACTTATCACATAAACTGCTAATTAAGCAGGCATATAGAAATTGGCACATTCATTGCAGAGTGGCAGTCTTTGTTAATCCCCCTGTATGCATGTCCTATTCATGAATTATGACTAAGAAGAAAACAGGTTATAAACACGAAGGGAAGCTTCTGTTTATATGAACGCCTCATCCTTTCATGGATCAGGCGTTGCAGAAAAACCTGCCGGTGGCCACTAGGTGGAGACAGTGAGTCTGTGTCTGACAGATAGGCACCATTCAAAACAAAACAGGGAAAGCAAGCAAATAAGACACTTGTAATCAAAGCCCCAGAGTCTGGAAGTGACAGGGAGGAGGCAGATCTTCCCAGGCACAGGCTCTGCCACTTAACATGCCGCCCCAAATAAATCAGGGGGGCAGCTGATGAGGTGACATGCAACTCCAAAGCAAGAATAACCTGTCTACTTAGAGGAAGTGTCACCTAGAAGGACAATCCAGATCTCTGCTGATCAGTGACACAAGTCACGTCTCTTCTTTTTTTCCTTCTGTGTATTTTTGAGAGTATAGAGGGGACACAGGAACGCCATGTACAGGCAAAACTGGGAGCAGATGGCACTTTGATCTGAAGATGGCGTATATACAGGTAGGTGTCATTCACACTCTTACTGATTGCTGTAAAGGAAGAGTTTAGTTAGAACTTGTAACCAATGAACAAGTAACTGGTGACAGGCTGCACAGAATGACATGGAACACCAAGGTGACAACACTGCTGTGCAATCAACTGCCTAGTGGAAGAGCATCAATCAGACAGGACAGGAGAACAATCTGATCAGTCTGTGCTTTGTATATGGCCGCAGCAAAACTTTACCATACACAACATAGCATTTAACAATTAACAAAGAGATCTACAGGTCAGGAAGAAAAGTAAACATCGAGTGTTCAGCCTTCAGTTGTATTTGATGTGTCCATCCATCTAACTAGGGGGGGTTGGTGGAGGTGCAGCTGTCCAAGGTGGAATAAAAGCTGACCCGTGTTTTTTTGTTGTTTTTTAACCTGTAAGCTTTATTGATCACTTAAAGCTGAAGTCCCAGAGACAGAGACAGAGGCATATTGGGATTTGTAGTTAAAGCACAGTTGGAGTTGTCCACTCCTTGCATAGGAGGGATGAGGTGATCACCAGCTGCCAGGGGAGTGGGGTCAGATAAGTGAAAATTCCACCCTTGAGCTAGGCATTAAATAAAGCCTTTCCATTTTCATGACATGCCTTATTCTATACACGGTGATGTCATCACTGAGTCTCTGTGCTTCTCTGTACAATACAGGCAGGTCATGGCTGGTGGGAGGAGCCGGCAGAGTGATGTACATAGATTCATGAAAGCTTCACAGCACCCTTCCTCAGTATTCCTCTCAAGAGCCCTCAGCCATAATGCAAGCAGTGGGATGTCTCTTGAGAGTAGTTATGCAAATATCAAAGGGCGAATGTGAGTAGACTTCTTTAAATAATGCCCACATGCAATACTAAAGCCTCCATGATTAAAAGAACTCAATTGAATGGAAGGGACAATCCATGGACAGCATGACTGGGGAGGAAAGCACTAAATGATGCTGGATGTTCTCCAGCCAGGAAATGGGGCAGGCTCTGAATTGCTGCAGCTTCTTATGGACATTGTGGGAATCTCACAGTGTGCAGTGAATTTGGAGACTCAGTGAGATCCCCATAATGTCTGGAAGCAGAGAGTTAAATGGAGGAGGTGGCATCCTGGAAGGTAAGATGTTTATACTTTGCAGCAACCCTCCACACATAACATGCAGCTTTTTAATGATAATTCACATACTCAGTGTGTTGTGTAAATTATCATTTTTTCATGGAGTTTGGCTTTAAGGTAAGGCTGGGGTTCTGCATTAAGAGATGTTAGCATAGCTTCCTAATAGAATAGAACAACTGCATTCTAATGTTAGCATGGCAATGTCACATCATTCTCTGTACAAACATAACATTTTCTTCTTTTAATAGCATCATGACAATGACCAAGGTAAAAAGTAAATCAATAAAATAGTCTTGTAACTGGGAAATATAATGATCCAAAGGTTCTTCACATGAAAGCGGGACTTACTTGACATGAGATTCATTAGGAGTTCTGCGACTGGCGCCCTACATAGACTCTTTAGTGTATATATAGCTTTATACACATATGCACACACCTTCGCGTGGAATTGTATCATATACAATGGGCCAGATAAACTATTGTCGGTCCGACAAATATTTCGCACATACAAATCTGTTTTTTGGGGATGCGCCAAATAATCATTTTATTTCAAAGGTTTGAAATAAAAAATGTGGTTATTGTAAAAAAAACAACAAATTGCCACTTTTCGCACAAAGAGTCTCACAAACTGCACCAAATAAATGAATGGTCCAGAAAATGAGTTTGTCAATATTTGGCGCAATAGGTGTGCAATAGTGCACCAAAAGTATGGCGCCGCAAGGACTGGAAAAATCCAGGAGCAAGATAGCCAATGTGCCTTCAAAATGACAACTGGCGCCTAAATTTTGAGGTTTTATTTAGTTGTCCATGGAACTAGCTCCAAAAACCAAATCCTGCTCGCTCCTGGATTGGACAGATTGTTCATCCTGAGAGTTACTCATTGTACTATGCACCAAAAAAACTAAGGAGGCTATTCACAAAAGAAGCCACAGGATATAGCCGTAGCTTCGACGAATCCTTTGGCTTACTTCGGCCGCTCGCTCGTCCCCCCCTTCTTGCTTTCTTGCCCTGCCAGGCCTTTGCTTGGATTAAGTGTCTCATTGGTAATTTTTTTTACCCCATTTTTTGGTGGTGGGGTTCAACCTTAAAATTCCTACCAGACCTAAAGGGCCCTTTTTTAAACTTGGGGTCCCTCCTAACTTTCTTAGCAGACCTAAAGGGTCTTGCAAGACTCGGCTCCGCGGCATTTGGCTATTCACTCACTGCTGTTCGGCCCCTATGGACGAACGGCAGCAAGTGAAATGCCAGGCGTTCGGCTTAGCCGATCCAGGATCGGCTGAGTCGCACGGGTTCTTCACGTCACGAAGCTAGCCAAAGTACGGCTGAAATCAGCCGTACTCGGCTGAAGTTTATAGTCAAACAGCGTTCGGCTCCCTTCAATTCGGCCTCGGTTATTTACTCGGTTGCCGAATAACCCCCTAAATGCGCTGTGAAAGTTAATTTGACATGCGATGCGTCAAAGTGAGATGTCACGTGCGACAATTTACATTGCTCATCAACCCCCAATCTTTGTTTATCTGGCCCAATGACTGCAGGGTAAGGAAAAAAGAAAATCAATACTTTGGCCCGTCTCGCAGCTCAGTGTGTTTTCATCATACGGTTAGTTTGGATGTGACAAGTGCACAAATGTTCACAAATGAGCATATTACAGGCAGGTTGCTTCTGGTTTGTGTCTTGGTTTTCATGTCTGCTGGGTGGAGCTGTAACTTGGATTGGGTGATGTCTTTATTGCATGGCAAAGCAGACATGATCAGCAAAGCAACAGTTGTAGATGCTGGGAGCAGATGTTAGTCACTTGCTATAAATTATTTCCCTGAGCTCTCTGAGTGTCAGGTTACCTCAGTCCAACCACAGCCGTGATCTTTTGTGTCTACATAGGTTATTGCAGTTCATATATTATTAATGGCCATACATTGTGTGACATTGGCATTACCACTGTGAGATTCAGGCCCTTATGTACAAAGACATACCTCGTTATCCAGTAAGACCCCTTTCACACAGGCGGCGCTTGTTCCGGTCCCCTGCTGACTGGACCAGTATGGAATGAATTTCCCTCTTGTGACACCTTTGTCCGTCCAGTTTTTTCTTCTATCAACTGAACTTACCGGACCCATGTTAGGCCTATAGGGAGTCAGATGTAAGTGGACATATTTTCTTCTACATCCGATTACCTCCGATCCATCATGCCAAAACTCTAATCGGATGTAAACAGACGCACATCTGCTTACATCCGACTCCCCTTAGTGTTACATTGGCCTTCAGATCTGCCTAAAAAACTGACAGATGGATCTAAACGGATTGCCTTAATCAAAGGGGCCTAAGGCATTTCGAAGAGTAATGGCGACCTGGAATGTTCAGTAGCCCATAGCAATAAAAAATAAAAGTTCACTTAGGGCTAAATAAAGAGAATTTGATAAAAAAAAACAAAATGAGGGACAGTCCCTCCAAATGAGGGACAGTTGGGAGATATACATAACAGGGCTTCCCCCTATACTCCCCTGCAACTTCTACTCTACACAGGCTGCAGAAGAGGTGATGAAACAAGGCAGCAGAATGCTGGATATTGAAGCCTTTATCTGCCTGGTTAGAGTCTCTCTATTTCCGATCGATCATCAGATGGACCGGTATTTTGCTTCTTCTTCTCCTATCAAAATTCCAGCAGCAGCTGTGGCTGCTGCTCTAAACATTGGCAAAGCAGCCATGGCACAAGATTGCAGCACAACTTCACAGGCAGATGAAGCAGGAAGCTTGAAGAAGACAACTTCTAATTATGCCACAGGAGAGATTGCTTGTCATTGGCCAAAACAAAAACACATGAAGCATAAAAAATGCATAAAACAACAAAAATGTACAAAAAAAATATGCACAAATATGAATCTAGGGTTACCATACTGTATATATGGAGGAGCAACTTTTCCACCCTAGGACAGGACTACAAAACACCTGTGCCTCTCTTCATCTCAGTAACTTAGGGAAGGTATTCTGTAATCCACAGAGAGAGACTTGAAAACATGTTAAATGATAAAGAGTCAGCAGAGGCAGAGAGCACAGGAATCTATCAGATCATAAGATTTATGGCAGGATCAACAAGCATTTTTTGCACTTATCAAATAGATCAGCTGTCACTAAATGGCGGACCACAGCCCGGACACAGACCGTGGTGCTGTCCGGACCGCGATCACTGACCTGCGCTGGGTTATGGGTAGCTGACAGTGGCCAGTGTTTCCATTGCCAACCACAACCCAGTGCAGGCCCCCCCTTCACATTAGTCATTGGTTGCTAGGACCGCTGACTTCCTAGCAACCAATTACATCAGGCAGGGCTGCCTGATACAACTATAAGTGATCTGGGTGGCTTAATGAAACATAAACTAAGATAATAAATCTTTTGCTATAGGCACTAGAAATGAGGGATACAACAGTTTGAAAGATGCTGATGGTGCGGCAACATTGATAAATTCCCCCATCAGGGCTTCCCTCATCAGCTGTCAGAAGCCAGCTGAAGGGCCAGGTATCAGACTATCAAGCACATTCCTGTGCTTGATGATCTGTATTGGACAGCAGGAAAGACATCAGAGGTCTAGTAGACCCCTCATGAACTTGTCACCTCCAAATGCTTTTACATAGGGGCTTGTTAATCCCTTTGTGATAACAAAAGTTAAGTTAAAATAAATGTAAAAAAAGAGATAGAAAAGTAAAAACATATTAAAGTAGAAATAAAAAAAAAAATTAAAACCAACTCTGCTGCCCCCTCTTTTTCTAATGAACACGTGCTTGTAAGGCATGCACGTGTATGAAAATGGGGGGGGGGGGGTGAACTTTTAACAAAAATAAATAAATTTAAAAAAACTGTAATGTGCCGGGATTGGCACATTAGC